CCATGGATGCTTCTGGCTTAGAAGCCCACACTGGCAAAAGACACAGAGAGAGGGAATGTTTGCCACTTTTACAGTGTTTTGATTGGCTTTTGGCCATTTCCTACTCTTTCCTCTTCTTGCTGCCCCTCAAAATCTACCCCCATCTCTTTACATACCTAGCTGTTTTCCCCATTGCTGTCTCACTTTCACAGAAAATGACTATTTCATTCACAAATCAGTGTTAGAGCTGGAAGGGACTCAGACTCCGAAGTCACGAAGGGGGAAGGAGGAACAATGAGGGAGGACGGACTTGCCCGAGATCACTCTGCTAATAAGTGGAAAGAGTGTTCTAGAACACAAGTTTCCCAGCTCCTAGGCTATTTAATTATCTCTCCAATGCACTGCTGCAGAAAAAAAATCAGAATCTTAAAAAGAAAAAGATTTACTGTGCATAGGAAGCCCCTTTTAACTAGGGGAGTGGTCCAACTGTTGGCAGAAGAGCCGCTTGTTCCCGAGGAGCAAGTGAGCTTCCTAGGGCTGATCTATTAACAGGTGCGCTGTAAGCCTTAGGTGATCAGCTTAAAAGGGAAAAATGATATTAAATGTGCTGGCCAAGCTTGAAAAAAAATCCCTTTTCTTAATGAAAAAGATTGCTAACAGTAAATCTCCTACCTTAAGATGCACCCCCACCCCCACCTCCACCCCAGCAACAGGCTATTTCCTGGTTGAGTTTAAAAATCCAATGACGTTCCTGTTTCAACCCACACATCTGTGTCACTGTCAGCGTCAGTGGCAGGAAAACAGACGAAGTCACCCTTTGCTAATGATTTCCTAACATGGAATTTCCTTGTATCTCCCCAAGCTTTTTCTTCTTCCAACGCCAAAATGTTTTTTTCCCTCTCTCAAACACACTGTACTGAAGGAAAACTGAAAATGGGCATGGCCGGGGAGGATGATTTCTAAGGAGATCTTATAAGGAAGAGCTGCAGCTCTTCGCGATATTTTTAACGGGGGTGGGGTACTGCTCGTTTTTCTAAAGCCAGTCCGAAGGAAACAGAGAGATTTCCTCCAGGCATCTGGGAATCTCTCAGCCCCTCTCTTTCCCTTTCCCTTGCCTCCTTCTTCCCAAGTTCCACTTTCAGCAACATGCTTACATCGGTGTCGGAGGAAACACACTCACACACCGGAGGCACACATGGGGAGAGGCCACAGCAGCCCCCAGAGCAGGGGACAGGCACTGGAGAGCCAGCAAAGCACAAAGCAATACAGGAACCCATTACGGTTCTCCTCTGGAGAATATCCTATTTAATAGGCAAACTGGGCATCCAGAGAAAACCAGGCTGTTACTTTAAGGGGAAGAAGCTGATTAGCTGCTCTGGCTGGCACCAAACAGCTGGTCTGTCCGGCAGGTTCAAGGCCATTTCAGCTTCTCTCTTATGGAGGCACCATATGTTCCATCTCACACATCAGCAGCTTTATTTTCCAATGATCTTGCTCCAGAAGGGAAGCACAAAGGGGGGAGGAGAAGGTAGAGCCCATCGTTTACCCTTTGAGTACTTTCTTGCGGTTTAGATGCAGTTGGGACGTGTGTATTGGGGGTGGGGGTGGGGGGAGTTAAGCTTCAGCATCTATTCCAAAGACCGGAGGGGAGTGGAGTGGGGGAAAGACATGCGAAAAGGCACAAATAACATGTCGCCAGGAGATTAAATGGGAAGAGGGGGCGGGGGCGGCGAGAGAATGGGAGGAATCTGACTTTGCTCCCGAGACCCACCAGTCGAGTTTGCGCCCCGCCCACTTCTCCTTATTTGTCAAATTTCCTTATTGTTAGTATTCCTTTTCCGAATAAACTTTACAAGGAGAGAAGCGGACCGCTTTGGGGGACGGGGGCAGCCAGGCCGACAGGATGGAGAAAGGTTACTTCTAACATGAAGTTTAGCATTCCTCAGTTCCAGCCTAGGTTCTCAGAAGTTTGTGGACGAGGGCAGGTGTAAAGGGTAGGGGCCGGGCTAAATCCTCAGTCCAACTAACGCCGGCAGCCGATGCGTCCTGGACACCTCAAGTGCCCGGCGCTGGGTCCGTGCAGAGGCGGCACGGTCCGGAGGTGCATCCTCGTCCCCACTGCCAGCCCAGGCTGCAGGAACCTCGAAGGTGGCGGTGCCGACTCCCTCCCTGCCGCCAAACAAAGGGGGCCCGCGGAGCGTTTGAGCCCGTCGGGGGTGGGGGGCGGCGGCAGGAGGGCGGGGGAAGGAGTGATGAGCGTAGCCGCGGGGTGGCGAAAGCCTCAGAGTCGCCGCCGTCGTCTCGGCCACTGGCGGGGGCGACAGCCGCCCTGAGCCAGGGCGGCGAGGGCCGCGGGCTGCAAAGCGAAACCGAGGAAAGGGCGCCCCCTATGCCCGCGCCCCAGAGAGCGCAGCGGCGAGCCGCGTCTGCTCACCCCGCCGAGCGTGCGCCGCCTCTGGCCTCCGGGCCCGTCCGCTCGCGGAGCCGCCCGCCAGGCCGTCCGGGCCGCCAGCGCCCGGGGTGTACACCGCCGGCAGGCTGGGCGCACGGCGGGCGGGCTTCAGGAGCCGAGGGCTCCCTACACCTTCCGGGGTTCCGGCGGAGGATCTTCGAAACACCGCCCCCTCCCCCACCGCCTACACTTGCCCTACTGTCCCGAGCGGCTGGAAGCCACTGGGAGGCAACCGCCCCCGCCCCCTGCCTCTGTGTCCCTTTCCATTTCCCTCTCTCCAGCCTCCTGGGAAACAAAGGGGCTTTTTATAAAGCGGATTGTTGGCGGCAGCGGCGGCGGGGGTGGGAGGGAGGGGGGATCTATAAAGACAAGAAGAGGTGGGGTGGGGGAAGAAGCTGCGCGGCCTCCGGGAGCCCTGATCGGCGGCGGCCAGGAAGCCCCCGCGGGTGCGCGGCCGACCCCGCCCGACCCGTGGGCACCCGGGCGGAGGCCCGCGCCTGCCAATGGCCTGGCTGCGCCTCTGCGATGCTGCTCGCCAGGTTACCGCAGCCCGGGAACAGGATCGCCCGGGGCCTGGGGCCCGGGCCGGTGGGGGCGGCGCGATTCCCGCGGGGGTCTCCCCTGGGAGACCCGGGCCCTTTTCCTAGACAACTCTTTTGAAATTGCTCGGGCTCGGGGAGACTTTGCCTCTTTGTTCCAGCGCGGCCGCCTCTCGTACGCTCGCCTCGCTCGCCCTCACAGACAATGTCCCCGAGGTGGCCTTGGTCGGCTACCCGCAAACGACACGTTTGCCGTGGGGACAGCGCCCCGGGGGCATTCCTTCTACTGCCAAACAACGACAGGCTACCCCAGCAAGTGGGGTCCCTTCTCCCCACGTTCCCCAGCCATCGTGTGCCTCCACCCGCGCGCACACTCACACCCACACTCGGGTGCCCCGCTCAGCCGCACCCAGCTGCAGGAGCGCGACCAGGCGAAGCCCCCAGCCCGAGGTGCGTCTGTTTGCTCAGGTTCCGACGACTTCAGGGCAGTTTTCTGGCAGGCTAATCCTATTAGTGTCTGCACGGTCCGCATTTAATCACGGATCAACATCAGACGGCATGGTCAGCTTTCCAAGCGGCTTCGGACACAGTGCATGGGGACGGAGTCTAGCCGAGCCAAGTAGCCACGAAAAGTATTTGGCGGCGCTCCGGGGGGCTTCCCGCCCGCCCTGGCCGGCACCGGGCTCTGCCGCTGCTCCGAGGCCTGGGAGCTCAGAGCGCGGGGGCGCCGGGAGGTCTGGGCAGAAGCCCAGTCGGAACTGTCTCGAGCCACCAGCTCTCCTCGGGGCTGCTCTCCAGAGGAAGATTTGGCAGGGGAGGGAGCGCAAGGCAGCGGGCTCGGCGCGCGCGCACACTCCACACTCCCGCTCCGCGGCGGCAAACCCGGTTGGGGTGGGGTGGGGGGAAATCCTGTGCCCAGCGCCCACAGCCGAATGGCCCAGGCTCAGGGAGCTGGCATGCGAAGGCAGCGTCGCCAGTGGCATCCGGGCTGCAAGCGGCCCGGAGGCGCCGGGACGGAGTAGGAGCTTCCCCGGTAGCCTGGCGCGGCCAGGGGAGCCCGCGTGGCTCGCGTCCCTCTGCCTTCCCTCCCCGGTACTTGGCTGCCCCTGCCCGATTCCAGACGCCCGGTGGGCGCCGGTGAGCAGGCAGAGGCCGCAGTCCCCAGCGATTCGAGCTGCGCTTAGTCCAGCCCGGCCAGTCCGAGAGGGGGGCGGCCGCGCGCAGCGCCAGGTGGGCCGTACGCTCAGAGCAAACTTTGGGGTCCCTCTGCCCTCAGCATCCCCGAGCCCTGGCTCCTCCACGATGGGGACCACAAGTGGGGGCCACAAGTGCACCCTGGAGACCCCACAGCAGTCGCGCCTCTCGCGCCCGCCCTCAGCCTTACCGTGCTGCGGAGCTCCAGCGGCGGCGGCGGGGGCAGTGCCCGAGGGGCGGGCGGCCGCCGGCGCGGGCAGCCTGGCCTCGGGCGCCTGCCGAGTGGCGCGGCCCGGTTGCAGATCACCCCCTGGCTAGCGGCCGGTGCCCCCGCGCCCGCCCGCCGCCGGCCGCTTCAGCTCGAGGCCAAGTTCATGCCGGCGGCGCTGCAGTGGCGGCCCAGATCTCCTCGCTCCATTCCCACCGCCCGGCTCCGCGCCGCGCGCCCGGAAGGTGGAGTTTCGGGGGTTTAAGTTACTGATAGGCATTTCTCACTGCTGTGTCACTCGGGGAGGAGGAGACACGCACGCCGCACACTCACACACCCTCACACTCACGGCGACGAGCGGCTCCGGCCTTAAAGGGGAAGCCACGCTGCCCCGCCCGCGACCCCACCAGCCCTGAGCCCGAAACGACGCGTTTCCAGGCCTGGATGGGGCCAGGGGCAGCGGAAGAGCAGCGGCCGCCTGAGGGGCCTATCGGGCCCTCCTGCCACTTTTAAAAAAGGAAAGCGGCTGAAGGCTGGCTTCGCTGTGGTCGTCTCATTTCTCCAGTCAACTCCAGTCAAAGGCAGCTGGGAGGAACGGGAGGGAAGGAAGGGGCACGGGTGCACTTACCTTGGTGGCTCCGCAAGCAGCGGGAGGCGGTAGGTGCCCTCGGCAGCAGGTGGCCCGCCTAGACGATGCGCTGATGGGGAGAGGCGACAGCGGGGTGACCAAGCGCTCCCGGGCACGAGCGGATGCAGCTCGCCCCAGGGCCGCAGGCGGAGCCCCGCGCACTTGGGAAACCCGCACGAGGCAGGTAGACTTCCCGCGTCTGGGCAGAGACAGCTGATGAGCGGTTCGCGCCCCTGACCCAGGAGAGCGAGCAGAGAGAGCGGGAGTGCCAGCACTCACCAGCGACAGGGCGAGAGAGCGCGCGAGACTGACAGAGCCCGAGAGAAACAGAAGGAGACCGTGGGAGACAGAGAGAGGGAGAGACAGAAACCGAGAGGGGCACCGACAGAGACCAAGAGAAAACACGGACATAGAGTGGTAGAGAGACACCGTGTGAAAGATAGAGAGACATGGCAGACCAGATCCCTGGAGGACCCCGGAGCGGCACAGGGACGGAAGTCCCATCGTAAAGTAGCCTGTTCCACACCGCCGCCCCCCCCCCCCCCCCCCCCCTCCCCCATTCTCAGCAGAAACTGACCCAAGAGCTAGCAGCCCTCCTCGCCCTCGCCCTGGGAGGGCGCTCACCTTCAGTAGGTGGCTGCCGAGTGGAGAGCGCCCGTCCCACTGCCGAAACGTCTGCTCGATAGCTCCCGCCGGGACGGCCAAGCCGACCTGCTGTGACGGCAGTGGGGACTAGAGCTCTCAGGTGGCAGCTACTGAACTGCACCCGCCCCCCTCCTCGCCGAGCGTCCCCCTCCCCTCTCTCGCAGCTCTCTCACCCTCCACCCGCCCTCTCCCTCCTCCCGCCCTCTCCCTCCTCCCCTCCTCCTATGCCCGCCACCACCCAACCCCCACCCTCGCCTCCACGCGGACCATGTCTATGCTGACCGCCCCTGTGCTCAGCCAGGAGCCTAGGGGCGCCCGCGACAGTCTCCCGCCCCACTGGCCCAGGGCCGGCGAAGCCCCTGCCCGAGCTGGGCTGGACTGGCCCGCTCTGCACGGGGTTATCCCGGGGCAGACACCTGCAGCTTCTGCAGAAACATGGGTTCCTTCTGAACTGCCCGGCGGGCTAAAGCGCGCTGTCTGCCCTCTGCCCTGGCGCCGCGGCCGGCCGGTGGCTCCCCTGTCCTTATTCCCGGAGGCTGGCCTGTGCCCCTTCTCCAGGGTCCCCGCCCAGGGTGCATTTCCTAACCTGGACTTCTGCGGCGGTGGCAGCGGCGGCGGCGAGGACTAAGCTCAGCCCACGGACGCCGCGTCTGGTCCGACAGCAGCAGCGGACAGCGAAGCTCCAGAGACCGCTCTCAGCTCCCGCCCGCACCTCTGAATAGCGACCTGTCATCACCACATCTGGTCGCACTCGGCCCAGCCGAGGGCCAGGAATAAAGGGGTGGGCCCGCCGCCCACTCGGCCCCTCCCTCCCTCCACGCCCACGCCCTCGGCCTGCAGAAAACGCTGGGGCCCCCTCCGAGGACCAAGCAAAGTCCCTTCGTGGGCTGCGTAGGCGCAACCGAGCTGGGCACTTGCCTCCGAATGTTTTCCGAAGTTTCCTGGCTGAGCTGCTGCGTCCCGGGGCCCAACCGCGAGGCACAGGTGTCGGACTCCTGCTCCGAAGCCCCCGTACCAGGGCCAGCAGGGCCCACTGGGGCGCGGTGGGGGCACGCGGCTCAGCCGGGCTGTTGGGAAGGAACCCACCTTGGTCCCACGCAGCCGGGGCTGCTCTGCAGAGGGCCCGTGGCCAGGAGAGGGTATTGCTCTCCGGTGATTGAACTGATCTCAGTCCTTACCTTCACTCCAGATGAGGCCGTAGTGGAGTCTTGGCCCTTGGACTGTCTGGGTCCTGCAGGCAGGGAGAGTCATCCTAGAATGGCTATGTCTCCCTAGAGCAAGAGAAAGCTCCTGAGTACCTTGAAGGGAATCCGGTTAAACAAAGGGGAACTGGGGATCCCTGTGTCTATCACAGGGCGTTGCAGGGGGTTTTTAAAGTGCACTGCTCAAGGAGGTGGAAGATGGGGTTCTATTCCCAAACACCTCCATTCCATCCTCATATCACTTCCCCTTGGCTTCCCCACTGGGGCATGTGATGCCTACTCCCCCCGAGTGTCTTGGGAGCCTGTGCGATCACAGCTGCACCTGTGTCAAATGGCCAACTGCCTGCTTGGCACCACCACCTGGATGCAACTAGACATCTCAAACTCCACATGGCCTTAACTGAGCTCCTGGTCACCCCGCAAAGCCACTTCTTTTATAGTCTGCCACTTCAGTTCGTGTCAGCTCCATCCTTCAAGGTGCCTAGGCCAAATGCTCTGGAGTCTTCCTTGATTCCTCTTTCTTTCGCTCATACCCCACATCCAGAGAAGTGGTCAGTTCTGTTTCTCCGTCTTCAAAATGCATCCACAATCCCAGCATTCTCTCCTCCTCCACTGCTACCGCCTGGGCCCAGCCACCAGCGTCTCCCACCTGGATTACTCCAGGAGCCACCTAACAGGTTGCTCTGTTTCGTACCTTCCCCAGCCACACCCCCCTCCAGCCCAGTCTAGTCCCCCATCTCTGTGCACCTGCAGTAGCTTCCCATTTTACTTGGTGAAACTAAAGTGCTTCTGATGGCCTAACAGGCTGCGCCTAAACACCTCCCCGCAACTGGATGACATCATCTTCCCTCTGCTCCAGGTATCCTGACTCTACCTCAACACACCAGGCATGGCCTTCCTTAGGGCCTTTGCATGAGCTGGCTCCCTTATTTCCTTTAATCTTGACACCAGTGTCACCTGGCTGCTTTGTGTAACGTTTCACACCCTCATGCCCATCTCTGGCGCTTCCTCCCCCCTTCCCTGCTGCGTTGTGTCTTTGGTACTTACCACCCGCTGACCTCCTCTATAGGTTAGAGCCTGGGAGGGCCCAGGCTGGCCTGTTTTGCTCACTGCTATATTCCCAGCTCCCAGCACTGTGCTTGGCAGGGAGTATCTGCTCAATGAAAGTTTGTAGGATTCCAATTTCCTGGAACTTTTGAGGAAACTCTGGGGACCACAGGATTGTACAAACACACTGGGAAAGGGGCCTATAGCTGTCGTTACATTTTAAGGACTTGATCACAGGTTAAGAAAGATGGAGGTCAGGCAAAGAGTTTTGTGTAAGTACCATGAAACTAGCCTCAGGTCATGTCACCAAGGGGCCTCGTGGCTCAGACGTGTTGTGGTTCTTTCAGTTACTGTTGGAAACAGGTTCCTTTGTGCTTGTCACCGTGGGTACCCCAAGGCTGGTGAAGAAATGGGAGAGGAGGCCAGAGGCAGAGGCTAAGTGAAGGCTTTCTCCTCCTGCGTAGACCGACTGTGAGACCCTTTGTCACCAAAACTGCAGACCAAGCGTGGGGCTATAAACTCTCCATTACCATGGGCTTTACCGGCCCAACCCACGAACCCGATGAGGTGTAAGCTATCCTCATCTCCATGTTCCAGATGAGGAAATGGGAGACTCAGAGAGGTGAAGGGACATGTTCAGGGTCACACAGCTTGAGAGTGGCAGAGCAGTAAACAGTTGGGCCTCAAAGCTTGGGATGCTTCCACCTGCCATGTGGCCATTCACATTTAGCTTGTGTCGTCCTGGCAGGTGGGTCTAGGCCAGGGAAGGAATCCCACAGGGGTCTCAAAGGGCTTCCCTTCTCCTGGGGAAATCTCCTGGCCCTGTTGAGGAGAGGCTGCCAGCAAAGGGTTAGGCTTGGGCTGTGGGGGTCCAGGGGCACCATGCCAAGGCCAGTGTGGGCCTTGCCTTTGGTCTGGTCCAAAGCTAGAACTCAAGGGATATGAAGGCAATCAGCAGCTGTCTGTCATTCATAGTCATATTCCTGTGAACGTATACTAGATTTTCCCAAGTTCACGTGACAAATGCTGGGGGCTTAACAGGATAGCCAGCCTCTGGAATTCTGTGTGGCCTGCACAGGTAGAGGCCCATGAAGAACAGGCGTGCTGACTGCAGGTAAGAAACACACATCCAGTTGCTCTGTTCATTGTTACTCCCTTGCTCCAAAACCTCCTGTGGCTCCCTACTGCTAAATCCCAACTCCTCAGCCTGTCGTTTAAGGCGCTCCATAGGTGGGCCCCAGCCTCCATTTCCAGCTTCATCTCCTGGTGCTTTCATACATGTCCTTGGGCCTCCTGCCTGGCTTGGCTGTTGATTAGACACCAAATAATTCCTAGTTCTTCCCACCTCGCACCTTTGCTCATGCATTTCCCCTGTCTAGAATTCCAGCTTTCCTGTCAAAATCCCACCTGACCTTCAGGGCTCATCTCAAAAGCCTCCTCCTCTGTGAAGCCTGGCCTGAGACCCATCACAGCACAGCCTGGGCACCCTCCCTGCCTTGGCCATCCACAGCCCTGTCTGTATCTCTGTGACTCTACAGCCCTTTGCCCTCGGCTCGTCCTGTTTTACTGTTTTAGTAGAGACTTCTGGGGTTCCCCTGAAGCCTGCCTGATGAAATCACAGCTGACCCCTGGTTAGGGTGGAGGGGCGTTCAGGGTACCCTCTAGATGGCAGAATCCGGATCCAGAAGGAGGAAATGGAGTGGCGGATGTGGCAGGGCTCAACACAGTGCCCGGCGTCTCCCCCTGCCTACCACTGCATTTGTGCAGAGGCTGTTGGCTGTGCCCACCTGGAGGTCTTGCACTCCACCTGTTCCCTCTGCCTTGCCCCTGGCTCCCGGCCCCCTGCAACCATGCCTCACCCATGCAGAGGCCACACCCCACAGTTCAGGCTCTGAGATGCAGGCTCCGAGCTCCTGGCTGCTGGAGCATTAGCTCAGGGCCTCCTGACTCCTCTGCATAGAGTCCTGACCCCAGTGACCTGCCTTCTCTAACCACAGCAGACTGGAGGCCACACCGACAGGAACCAGGACAGACAAACACCGGTGAGGAGGCCCAGGGTGGCGGCTGCCCATGCGGAGGAAGTGCAAGTTGATCTGGGAGCCCCCGGCGTAGACCCAGGTTCTGCCGCCTCCTAGCTGTATAACCTCGGGAGCCAGATGTCTCCTTTCTAAAGTAGGGGTCAGAGTAGTACCTGCTTTGCTGGGGTGAAGTCAGGGTTGCAGCCCCTATGCGTGGGACCACCCTTGGCAGGGCGCCTGGCCTGTAGGCTGGTAGCACTCAGAGAAGAGGCTACTGTCATGATTATTATCGCAAACCCTCCCAAAGACGGGGCAGGTGTTGAATCCAGGAAGACGAAGCATATTAGGATGAAAGCTCAGGTCCTGCATGGAGCTCTAGACACCGTATGATTTTGGGCAAACTGTGAGTGTTTTGATATGTCTGGCAAAAAGTAAGTCTGTGCCAGGTGAGGAGCCAGATTGGGGCACTTGCATAAGACACGTGGCACTTCGCCTAGGAGGGTAGAGGAGAGCACCTGGGAAACGAGTCGAATTATTTCTCATCACTATGTTCTTAAATAATTTTAATTTTCTTGGGGACATTGGTGGTGGTAAGCGTTTTTAAGAATCACAATGGAAACAAATGGGAAATTGTTAAAGTATTGATTGTAATTTCCTGGTGACTTCACTGATTTAAAAAATAGGAACCTTTAAGGAAAAAGCCCTCATTAGCAAGCAAGCAGTTAATTAAGGGGCTGTAGAATGGCTTGCATCGATTTCACCAGGAAACCAGAAAGCTGTGGCTGTAAGTCAATTTTTCCCCCACAGCTCCTTGCTTACCATGA